GATGTGCCGACAGCATGCTGACAGCTGTGAACTCTGACATTGTGATTACATCAGAATCCAAACCCATTGCTGACCTCTTATGACGACATAATCCCCGTTCATGTACTCTCGCTCTGTGGCTCTGGCTGTGGTCCAGCATCCCAGGCCTATGCAGACTTTTGGAAGGTCACTTTGGGAGGCTGCCGTGTAGCGTATAGAAACCAGCAGTATCCAATGCAGTTAAGTGCCAGTGACCAAGGTGACCTAACCACGCTTCATCACCAGTGATGGACATGTGCATGTAGTTGCACTTCTCGCTGCTTTAGGGCTAATATTTCTAGTTTTGTACCTTGTTTTACTGACACTACAGAACTGAAACAATTGGATTCTTTATGATAGCTGACTAATAAGCAACAATTCTGCTAAATGATTCATTGTTTTAGTAATTTATCCATCAAAAATGCTAAATATGTACAGGCTCCTGCTTCTAAAATGTGAGGATTTGTATCTTTTCTCTGTTTTATATCAATTTAAATTTGCGTTTTGAGGGACAAAACAAGCAATATAAATAAATTAAATCTCCAAATGTTATCAGTAATTAAAGAAATAATGTATGTGTGCTTCTAACCAGAAAGCTGACGCTGCAGATACACAGTACAACTGTAGTAAGACAGGTTTACAGCTCGCTTAGTCAGCACTAATTGATCCTGATCAAATTAGGGTCTTTGAGGAGCGACTGATCGAGTGAATGACGAAAGGTGTGTGCGTTAATTGAGGGGGAAAGACGGACAGGATGAGGGTTGGGAGGTGGGGGAGCAAGGCAGCACAAATAACAAAATGGATCCCGATCAATCAAACAGACAGGTCAATTACCCCTGAAACAGCAAGCTGGCTCTGACCCTATAACCAGCATCACATGTCTCCTTCTGCATCTGGAGCAAACTGAGTATAAGACTGAAATATCCCAACTGGCCAACTGAGGCACAAAGTTGGAGATTCATAAAGTTAAAAAAATTTGTCAGACGCAACCCTCCCTAAGTTCTGACGTTAGAAAGGTGCGTGGGGTCAACACAGAGGTCATCGGTCCCAGCAGGGAGGTTCGGGCCCCCTTCTTGCAATGTGGTTGGAAGACAAGATCCAACACAACCTCATCGGCTTGACATGATACACAGAGATAGCGGATACCTTCAACAAAGCAATACGCAAGTATGTGTGCTGGACAAAGGAGTTGATACTGAATAAGTACACAACTACTTATTCTACTTCCTGCCTTCTCAGCCATCGCAGGGTTTCAAACTTAAAATCCAGAACTTCCCCCTGAGACACATAAAGTAAATCTGAGTATTGCAAACAAGTACGGCTTCTGATAGAGCTGGAGAGACGCCATGAGGGCTGAGACTAAAAGCCTGCACAGGCAACAGAGGCTCATATAACTTTATAGTAGGCATCCTTTCTATATCCGCAAGGTGAAAGCCCCGAACAAAACAAGCAGAGTGGTGGGGGAGGAGGACTCTACGTAAATAAAGTGGTAGGAGCTGCACTCTGAAAGGTTCATATCCAAAAAGCCTATATTGATTTGGAAGAAATAAAATCCAAGGTCACCTGAGGTTCGTAACTCTTTATCCCTAACGCTGTATAGGAGATGTTAACATTTTTATATTACATTATAACCTTTAAAAAGATCCTATTACTACTCCTGGTTAATGGTGCTTTCAGATACTGAATATATTAAACCAATCAGGTATCAGTCGGACTCTGTACTCAGTCACTGTCGTTAGGAAATTGACTAAATGTAACAGAGGTGGGAAAGAAATCAATATAATATCAATAATGTGATCAAAGATTTAAAATCTCCCGGGATTTGGTTATCGTAAGGTTGAAATATGTGTTAAAATTTGTATTCAAGGCTGAGTTTCATTTAAATTATATAGTTTTCTGAATGTATCGCAGTGTTTTAGCTTCATAAAATGAGCAGTGAATCATTCTACACTCGGTGTGTCAAGGTGGTCTTGACTACATCACTGCAGTGAGGTGAGAGTTTGGTATCACATGGGAACTCAGTACCAGCCAATATCCTGACTACAGGTATCGAGATGGAGAGGGAAAAAAGTACAACTCCAGTTTCTTGTGCAAGCATACAGGCCTGGATAAGCTGGAAAAGAAGTGGTTCGGACAACATGTTGAGGGAGGGGGGTTTCGGAAACTACTCGTCCTGCTGACTTGCAGTCGTCCTGATGAAGCCTATACTGGCAGCTTAAGGTGTCACATTCTGCAGATGTTGGGTATCAAGTTTGGGAAATGAAACCTCTTGATTGTCACATTACACAGATGGATGGTACAGCGTGGAGTCTGTTCTCTCTTCAATATGGGTCCTTGTTTTTGGGATCAGGAGCACACTGTGTTACAACCTAGTCTGACTTGCACTTCTTCTTCTCTGTAACATACTCTCTCTCTCTCTCTTTCTCATATGTCTCTTAATCACCCAATAAATACCCACAAAATTACCTTTAAACAAACTGACCTTTACAGTTCAAACCTCCTCTCTCATCCCCCTTTTACTCCATCACACAGTCATTACAGCTCTGCAGTTTAATGAAAGACCCTAAGACATCGTAGCTAAGCCCTCTGTCCTGAATAGCATGTGGGTCATGCCCCATAGATTAGAAATCTTGGAGCAGCTACAGAGAAAGCAGGAGATTTACTGACATGGTCATCATGGTGCTGTGGAAAGTAATGCCTCTAATGGAGGGATGCATGCGCATGTTAATCTGTTATCAGACAAAGAAGCTTTATAATCAATCACTGACAGTGGATAATTGATGCTGGGTGCTCTGCGAAGGTTTAAGGGACAAAGATCTTTGAAAAACAAAAGAGGTTTTGAGCCAAACTGTCACCTGCTTTGAACAAAGGGATATATTTAGGATGCTATTTAGTATTTAACCAAAAGTCAAATGGGCCCATTAGAGGGAAGATGATGCAGAGATCTCCACTTTCTCCAAATGACCTCAAACATGGCATTTCCATACAGCATTTTCCTGGCAATTATTAGCTACTATACTCTATTATATATAGTATATTATCTATCTATATATATATATACTATATATATATGCTTGCATTGGCTGTGCATGTCAATATCGATATATATCTGTAATAAGCTCATATAGGTTTGGGAATGTAACTTTCTCCCCTTCAACAATGACTATCCTGCTATATGTCTTCAGTTCATGTACAAACAAGTCTTTTAACAACAGTGGTTCCCAACCTGGGGGTCGCCAAAGCTTCATGGGGGGGTCACGAGGACTTCTTGATTTTAAGGGGTGTTAGGAAATTTAAAAATAAATACAGAGTAGGTTCATATCTCAGCATTGAGGTTGACTTCTGTGAAGTAAAATAAATTGTCTAATAGAACAATGGCCAAGGACAAGAAAACACTATAATTTGTGGAAAAAAGAAGCATATTAAGTCTGTATGATTAAAAAATATTTTAAAAATACAGAATACCAAATCACTCGTTTTAACACAAACTTCTTGCAGTTACTGAGTGGGTTAATTGTACAGTTTTTAGAATATAACATGAAATATCCATAAAATATGTCACCTTATCAGGATATGTAAGTTTAATAAATGATAGAAAAGAAGTCCCTTAAGGAAAAGGGTGTTGGGAACCACTGTTTGAACAACAATAAATCCTTTAAACAGAGCTAAAAGTTGCAGGTGTTGCGTTAACTTACTGATTTAAGAGCATTCAGACAATAATATCATGCAACTACTTAGCCTAGGAGAAAAGAAAGTGAACAAAATCATTCAAATTGTGAGAGATTTGTGATCTCTGCCTCTTATTCTCACTCTCACACAGCAACATTTCGTCTCCTCAGCAATGACCATTTATGTGCCTTTAACCTCCAAGTGGGAATTCCCAGCATACCTTAAATGGTCTGTTAAAATAAGAAGCTGTGACTGACAAGCCTGCATACTGACAGGCAGTAGGCTTGAACTAAACACTTGAATAATTTACACCACACAGCTGAGCTGGGCTGTATTAAAACCAGTGCTTCTTCTGTCATTGGGGTCATTTTAGGATTCCTTAATTTGAAGGCATGGTGGGTATAAATAAGATGGTCAATACAGGCAGTGTAAGGCTGAGGGGGGATATATAGGCAACGGAGGCAGCAGCAGGGATTATCTCACCCCCTAAACTGAACTGCAGGCCCTTATATGGGATAAATCGATGAGGGATTTTAGGACCTATAGCCACATAAAGCACCATTTATTTGATTTATTTTCTGCATCCATATAATGTGAATGTGACCAATGCTTGCTGAAGACGTGTAATCACTACAGGCATGAATCGGCTCTGTAGATAAACTCACAAGGGTTGTAATTACGCTAGATGGACCAAAGTCATCTTATTCTGTGACTGTGGAGCCAGTGCGCAGGCCCGGCTGCTGGGACTCCGCTGCAGCATCACGCGTCCTTCCCACTGTGCAGTGCGGTACGAGTATCCACACACATAATACTAATAATATAATTTAAAAAGAACCCACTTTTACCCTTAGAAAAGCATCACTGACATCCAAAATAGACACACAGGCTACCGCTGGAGTCTCCTTTCTGAGCTTACATCGCCAGTCTTATCCATATTTGAACAGGTGTATTGACAGCACAACTCTTGCTTTTAAATAATCATTTTAAAAAAGCAGAATTAAGAGGAATGCATGCTGTTTTTAACCAAAATCTGCAGCTATTTTATGTGCATGAATTACATTTGTGATCTAGTTGTTTGCCAACTTGCATGCAAACACTCATGTAGGATATCCGGACGTGTTTTTTTTGTTTTTTATAGCGATCTGTGTTTAGGTAAAACATATATAAAATAAACATATTTCATCGGTCAAAAGCGCCACAAACACGTATGTTATTATCATGATCAGCCATGCTTCCTAAATCCTAACATGTTTGGCTACATGTCGCCGAGCAGTCGGATATGAATCATCCTCAGTGCAGGTTTTTTTTTGTACCTTCAGATTGAGCTCTGCGGTGTCTCCCTCAGCACACAGGCCGGCGGATCAGACACATCACCCGGATAGGTTGTCCAGGATGTCGCGGTGGCCCCGTCCTGCGGCTTCTTCCTCCACCTTGCCTCTGCTCTCCGACTGGAAATTGACACATTTGACTTTACTGCAGCAGCAGCAGCAGCAGCACATGCTCAGACAGACTCACGCACCTCTTGCATCTCTCTGGTTAACCATTTGTTCACCAGAGCTCAGCGTCAACTTAAAGCTGCAGTAGGTGGCTATCATTTTTTTGTCATATTTGCAGAATTGTTCACTATATCCTGATAAAAGAACATGAGATAGATAATCTGTGAAAAAATGAGGTTGCTCTGGCTCCTTTTAATGTTCCTTATGGTAGTTAAAAGAATCCACCGCCCGAATAAAATCAACCAATCAGAGCTGAAAGAGATATAAAGAGGATTCAGGTTGGAGGCTTGAAGATAGTTGATTGTTGAGTATGTATTATTTGTCTTCCCGGGAAATAAGACTCACAATAAACTTAATCTTTCTTGGCTCTGATTGGTTGTTCGGGTCCCGGTGGACGCTTGCAGATGCCGTTAACAGCACTCGGAGGAGTTGGGGGAACCTGATTTTTGCCAGATTATCTGTCTCATGTTCTACTGTCAGGATGTAGTGAATGTTTCAGCAATATGATTAAAAATATGTTTTATAAAACTTACCTGCTGCAGCTTTAACTTTTAAGCCAATTGAAAGCCTTCTTGGTCCGACAGTGTGGATCCAGGTTTAAATTAAACACATACGCTTTACTTTAACCCCATTATGTAGTCCTATAAGCTTTAATATAAGGATATTTATAAGATACATTACATACAACCACCAAGCAGGTAGCTAGTTTAGCTTAGCATAAAGACTGGAAACAGGGAAACAGCTAGCCTCTGTTCCAAAATAACAAAATCCACCTACAAGCACCTTTAAAGCTTTCTAATAAACACCTTAACAAATATCTTTTCTGTCTAACATACAATAACCAAAATTGAAAAAATTGAGAATTTGTTGGTTTTAGGGACCGTATATGTGCCTTGCTTTCCCTCTATCCCACTAAATAAAGGAAGTAGATAAGTAGTAAAAACAGCCAAACTTGTCATACTAACAGGCAGACTAGCTAGTTTATGTTATATTTAAATTAGTCAAACTGTAAAATAGTTTAATATATTGCTTTAATGGTAATTATTAACAAATGGTTGCTGAAAGAACACATTTTGTTTGCTGAATCTGTGTTTTCCTCTCGTATTCCCTGTTAACCTAAGTTAACCTTTAAACCCTTATTTTCCTCGACATAAGCTTTACTGTCTGCCTTTGTAGGAAAGTATCTTATGAACTATTAACCAAATCTTAATATGGTGTCTATAAAAAGCTTAATGGGCTCTGAAACTAACTTGAATTTCTAACTAAAATATATTTTATATATTTTTATAATTATCAGAAAACACCCTTATTTATTCCTGTTCAAACACTTTTTTGTGAATGTTTCATGTTGTTTTCTCACACTTGTGATACCTTTGTAGTAATCTTGTTTATTGCCACTGGGCTTCCAGTGGGGGATGAATATTTTAGGAGTCTGAAGAAGTGTGAACCCTCACACATATCCAGTGACACAAGAAGAGGTGACGCCTGCACCAATAATAATAGTCTCTTTCCCTTTACATGTTCGTGTTAAATAAAGAGCCGTGAGTGGAGTTTGTTAGGTGTGCAGCAGCCTGAAGCCCCGAATATCGCCGTCAGTGTCAGAAACGTGAATGACGTCAGTCTCAAAGAAGGTCAGGTGGTTTAGTCACATGCAGTGGCTGCTGTAATGTAAACCAGTGCTTGTAAGGACTTGCCATCAGTTATTGGAGGAACTTGGCGTACTTTGGCTCAAAACTAACGTAATGCCTTCCTTTTAACTCGTTCTTGCACTGTAAGAGACGCCTTTCTCCATTTTATATTCTAATTCTATTCTAAACACTTTTTGTTTGTTTTGAAGGATGTCAGTATCCACTAAGACAAACTTTTAAGGCCTCGACTGCAGATATTCAGTTAGATTTCCAGATGTTCTTCCACAGGAGTGTAGAAACTCTGTTGAGCCGTGCAGTGTTGATGATTCCCAACACTTGACAGACGCTTTATTTTGTAAAATTACAACTTAAACGTCACTAAATCAATCATAGAGAGAGACAGTGATTCCAACTTTCTCGCTAGTTTTAGCAACTTTATTTCTCAAAAGTGATGGGTGGCAGTAGCTCAGTGTGTAGGCACTTTGCATGGGAAACGGAGGGTCACCGGTTCAAATCCCACAGACCACAATATGGAGTGTGGACTGGTAGCTGGAGAGGTGCCAGTTTCACCCCCTGTGCACTGCTGATTGAGCAAGCAAACTAACCAAGAATAATGGCTCAGAGCGCTTAGTTAACCGTGGCAAGGCCATCAATCCACCATCGTTTCCCTGTGGCATGTCACAAACATAGAAGTGCACTTTCAGCCCGCTCTTGTGTAAGAATCTAACAAAAGAGGTGAAAAGAAGAAAGTTTCCTCTCTATCGCCAACCCCGTGTACGCGGGAGTTCCAAGCGGAACGCCATACAACGCCCCACGCGCCCGAGCCCCTCGCGGGCCCGGGTCTCTCTCCTCTGCCCTCCTGGCTGAATCGTGAGCAGCGTCAGTTCTCGCACTCCAGCGCGGTGCTCCACTAGCTTGATTCTACCACCCGCCAAAGTCAGGTCTCCTTGGCGCTTGACCAACTGCCGCCCCTCCAGACCCCTTGTTCTAACCTTCTCGTTACAGCCACAACCCCCTATACCAACCCCAGCCTTCTCTCGTGCGTGGATCTCACTGCGACACACCCCACCAAGTAGATGTGCGCAATGCTAAACGTTTCTCGACCTTTCTGCCAGCGTCATACCACTCGAAAAAGTTCTGCACACGTGATGCACCCTTTATGGAGCCACAGAAGCTTACAACCCGACATAGAAACAAGCTAAACCCACCTGTCGATCCCCCAACCACACCCACGGTGCTCTTAAAAATTTGTTTCCTCACATCGACAGCAGTAGCCGAATTACACCGAGGACAGTCTCCACGACAATCATAACGTGGGCGACCGAGCTCCGACGAGTTGCACCATTCCACGTGAGGAAGCTTAGCTGATATCGTTTCGCACATGGGAAAAACATTACGGGTACACCTAGATAATTGGTAGCATCTCCGTGTGCTGTAAGTGAGAGTAAGTTATATGTGAGACTTAGCATCGTAATTCTGCAGGCACAGCGTCATAAGCCCCCCCTGAGGCTTCGCCTTCACACTCCCCCCGCGTTCGACTCTCGCACCAGCTCCCCTGCGTCGTGGCTAGCCAGCCATATTCGAGAGCCAGAAGTAACGACACGGCGCGCACGCTGCGGACCCCCGTCCTCCTCTGCTCAGGCCTATCCTGTAGTCTGGGGCAGTCTAGGATTGACTTAGCAGCAGCTAGCGGTAGCTGCACACGATTAAGTCTGATAACTCCTTAGTCGAATACTTGAAGTTTATTACTATGCCCTACCGCATGCTGTGCATACACATCTTCTCCGTCAAGTTCCCTATATCGAATAACAACACCCTTCCTTAGAACACTTAAGACAAAAAACGCTTCCTTTCCTCCGCTCCACTGCTTGTTCGCACCAGGATGCGACCAGCTACCTCACCTTTGTTAGAGTTGGCGGACCGGAGAATATGGCACTGCACCTATGCTCCATGCTCCGGGCTCCGCCAGGATGCCTGCTCGATCACTGCGCGTCCCTTTCAACGATCGAGAACGCCCCACGCTAACATTCTTACGCAGCAGTCTCAACGAATATAATCATCTCCCCTATCGCAACTGAGCATCAGCTGCTACTCGCAGCCACCGTTACTCTGCTCTGCCCTTGTTTCGGGCTCGTATTACACACTCTTTGTCCGTTGCATCAACTGCCAACTTTAACCAGTGAACCCACCTGCAGCGAAATTCGAAGACCAGGTGGCCCGTGGATGAAGGACCAGTAGTAGGCGAGTATGTGGATTTCACCCTCTTCTGTGATAGACGCAGTGAGATAGACGCGGCTCTTCTAGCACCAGTGGAGACCTAATAACCACCAGTCCTATTCCACTATTAACCGACAAGACTAGGCTGTACATGGTTGCGCGCCTGGCATGTCGGCACGCATGTGTCCCCCAGCCCTCGCGGCTTAACATATGCGAATTGACTCAAACTGCGTCTATGGTCCATGATTCGCATATACCGTGTTACCACCGCAGACGCTATCGACTATATCGACGCCTGCGACTTCATTTCTGATCGTGTATTCGTTAAGGAGCGGGCAACCACAGCCGACGCGCCCCGATAGACACTGGGCACTGACCCCACTCTCCGCGTGTGCACTTTGAACTACGATGCATTGTAAGAGAGCTCGTGTATTCTTAACGCGCTCATTCCTAACACCAGACGTTTATCGGACGCAGCCACCCGTCGTGTCGCTAGCCCACGCCCCCCTCACCACCTAGATCACCGTGAACCACATACCTTACCCAGCACAGCTTCCTCGCACTCTCCACAGCACGTCTCCCTAAGCACGCAGAGGCTGGTCCCTCACCTCAGCATCAATTACGTTGCCTAGCAACTGCGCCCAGGCACACGACCCTACCCATATCGCCCGACGCTTGTAGCACCTGAAATCTGAATTTACCCCTAACTCCTGGACCCTATTAAT